TTTTTTTTTTTTTTTTTTTTTTTTTTTTTTAGCTGATGGACTTAGATTTGACTAGGACTTACACTGTAAATAAAATTAGAACTCTTGGTTTCATCCCTGGAGAACTCACTGTCCCATGGGTTTGGTTAGGAGCTGTCAGAGGGTTCAGCTCAGAGTCGACTGACACGATGGAAGAAGTGACCTCTAAAGAACGTGGAGTTGCTGCTCTCACTGTTGGGCTTTCACCAGAATGATGCTTGGGGTTGGTTCCATTTTTTCTTCTTTTATTTTTCTCTTTTTTCTTTTTTTTTTTTTTTGTCTCCAGTAACAAAAATGGAATTAAAGCTGAAACCTGAAGTATGTTGATTAAACGACAACCTCATTAATTTCTGTACAGAACAAAACTAGCTTCATGTGGTCAATGAAAAGCTGATTTGGAGATTGGGGGTTGGATGAAGTGTTCTTTGAAAGGACTCCGTTTCCAAGCAGAGCTGTTCCGTTGGAAGCTGTGCTCAGCCAGCCAGTGTTACTAATGTTTGATGTTCTGTGAATGCTGCAGTATAGAATTGCAATTTGCAGTGGAAACCACTGAGTGAGCAGGATAACCAAGCAGTGCACTGAAAAAGCAGTTCCTTAATTGATCTTGGTCAGGATCTTTGGTTTGTGCTATATTGGGAAATGAACTTTAGGCCTGACACACACACACACACGTGGAGAAGATCTCTTGGAAGGGCAACCTGTTTAATGGGATAAGTAAGTCAATGTGCTCCTGAAAATGAAATGTGATATAGTGCTATCATTGCTCTTTCTAAGAACTAATTGGGGAAAAAAAATATATTAAACTGCAGATTTAAACAAAGGAACAAAATTGTACACGTTGTTTCTGCACTCAGTATTCTAAGGCTGAATGTTAAAAGTGCCTTCTGTCTTCAAATCTTAAACCAAATACTTTGTGTTGAACTTGGCAGGCAGAAGTGTCCTTGCTTTAAAAATGAACAAACAAAATTCCCAGCAAACTTGCTGGGGATAGAAGAGTATTAAGAGATCTGTTTTTAGTTTTTAGACTGAGAAGTGGTAGCAGTATTGTTTTCAGTTTAATTTAAAAGGTTGATGTGATTTGGAAAAGTGAAATACTTGTGTTTCAGACTGTGTGACACCAAAATGTGTGGGTTCAGCTACTTTCTGTAATTGGTGCTGTGCTGCTTTTTGCCCTTGTCAGTTTGAAATATGAAGAATTCTAATTGCATACCCATTTATTTAAAGAACTAATTTAACTCCTTTTAGCATTTTCATTCTCAAACATGAATGTCAGAGAGACACTTCCATTGTAGGTGGATTTTAAACACTAAGGATAAACTTGACTGTGAAACGAGCAGTGTTTCCATAGAGCAAAACAAATTTGGAGATCGAATTCACAAAATGAATATTTCAATTACTACTGAAGTAATTCTGGTTTGTACCAAGGGTGGAGGTGGAAACTGCTTTTCTGTACAGAGTTCTGTGGTGTGAATAACATCTGTTGCATGTAACACTAAATGACTTGTCCCTCATCCCACAGTTAGCCAGCAATTCATTAAATGAGTTTCGTATTGACCGGAGTACAGTTAAAGCTTGTCTTGATGTTTAGTTCTGTCTCTCAAATGCCTTCCACTTTGATATTAAGGAGAATGAATGATGTTGAATTGGTCCCTCAAGGCTTGGCTTTGTTCTCTCCCAAGCCTTGAGGCAGTAGCAGTGTTTAATGTGTTGTATAGATTTTATTTTGATGCATTTCTGTGATCTACACTAAAGGCATCTTTTTTTTACCCAAGGAAGAGGTGAACACTTGCTGCCTGAAAGTTGCTCCTATCTCAGAGCAAGCAGCCATGAAGACAAGTCTAATCCATGAGTACTTGGTCCAATTCCTGGGGGAAAAAAGAGGGAAAAAAAAGCCCCATCAGCTGAAAGTATTGGTGTTAACTTCACCGTGTCTTGTGCTCGTTTGTGTGGGCATAGTCTGTTGATTCAGTTTGTTTAGTAAAAATGTTTAGGGCCAGGTTTTCAGCAGTGGTGTCTGCAGTCCTTGTTTGTGTGCACATAGGGAGCAAATGGAGCTGGAGTTTAGGCTCTGGGAGGATTTGCAGCCACACTTTGTGCACGACCTTGCAAATCTGATCCTTAATTGTGAACTCTCTTGTCTTGTGTGCTTCCCTTGCAGTTACTTTTTACTGGAAGTGATTTGTTAGAAATGGCCCCGATTTCTTCTGTTTCTCTCTCGTTCTTCAGAAATGCAGTTGGCCTGAATAAAGGGCAGAATAATCTTAGCAGGAGAAATTTGGACCTTTCTGCTTCCAATTCTTTTGACTCTTTCCTTGCTGCTCCCAATGATAGAAACAGCATCTTCCAGTAAAATGGGTTGTGATGGAAATCAGGAGTGCAGCTGTGCCCCCCAGCCAAAACGTGGTGGCAAATGCATGCTTGATATTGGTTTTACCCTTACAAATCCAAAGGCAAATCCTAAAAATTCTCAAGGATGCAGGAGTCTGGGTAAAGGCAGGTAAATGATATTTGGGCTGGCAAGGGACAGGGGTGTGTTACAGAGATCCTCGTTGTGGTTTCAACACTCAGGAGAATGGACGGGATAAAATACACAGTATCCAAACAGAGGTTCTGAATTTGGGCTCTTCCTGCCCCTCTTTGGCTCTCTCAGAATTCCAGAATTCCTTTGGGATCACAGAATATTCTGAGTTGGAAGTTCCACTGCGAGGAGCGGATCAGAAAGACAAAAAACCGCATCCCAAAGCCTGCTTAGGAATTCAACATTCCTGAAATCCTCTTACTGTAAGGGACTTGCTAGTCTTTAAGGCCAACAAAGCGTTTGAGTCTCGTGGAGGAAATTAATATTCCTGGAAGTTTCTAAAATATTTGTGACACTGAGGCCAATGAAACATTCCTGAGCACTTTTGAGATCCGAAGTGACAACAGATCTCTGGTGAGGTTTCTGAATGCTGTAGTTTGCATTTTTGTGCTGCTGTTGAGTGTCAGTTGTTCCAGGAGGTTGGTGAGGTGCTTCAGGCAGTTCTGCTCCTAATTTGTGCGGGCTGAAGTCAGAGGTTGGATGGCTTTGGTTCTGCCAATGTTGTTTAAACTGATCCAGAAAAGATGAAGTATTCTGTTACCATAAAACTGTATTAAGCATGGCCTAAATATTAGGTGTTTGTTCTGTATAGTACATCAACTATTTATTCCCAGTGCTTTCAACTCCAAATCCAACACCCATTTAAAATGGAGTCATTGGGCAGATGTTCCTTTTCTCAATATAGGCTGAGAGATTCTCTCTTGGAGGTTTAGGATACAATTTTGCTAACAGGTAAAAAAACTATGTAAATATGTACGAATTCTATTTGTTGCACATAACTTTTTTTGGTATAAAAAAAAAAAGAAAAAAAAGAAAAAAAAACCCAACAAAAATAAATGTAGAAATTACCTGTGGATGTCTTGCTGCAATCATTCTTATGCTGCATTCATGCAGTCCAAACATAAGAGCTTGAATGAACCCAACCAGAGGCCTTTTTGGACTCAGTCTGAGCCTTAGAAACTGTTTTTAATGTCAGTACTGTAATTCTGTTTTTAGAAATTGTACCAAGTCGTGTGGTTTTTTTTCCAATACCTTGTATGTGTTTAGCAGTAGAAGGGTTAAAGCACTTGATTCCCCCCAGATCCCAGTTTTCCCAGTAGAATTCCTGCAGCTTTGTGTCTGGCTGAGCATTGTGTGTAAAGGCTGAGCAGCGTTGACTTGAGGCTTTCACTGTTTACAGTTCTTTAAGCAAAAAAAACAAGCCCAACATTGTGATTTTTATCACTTTCTGCTTTATTGGGGCTGCTCAAAGCTGGTCCCACAGACCACAAAATCCCTGGGAACTGCTGGATGTGTCCCTGGATTTGGGGAGGGAGCTGCTGGGCAGGGTTGGGTTTGTTGAGTACAAGCAGGAATTAACCCTCAGATTTTGGGGGGGTTGAGCTGAGCCCTGGTTTGTAAGGAGTGACCAGTGTCAAATCCTCATCTGTGTTTTGGTCAGGTCTGTTGAAATTGGGGAAGAAAATGAGTTTTTAAGGATGATGGCTAGAGATGGAGAAGTTGAAATTACTTTCAAACACTGCTAGTGGGCTTAAATATGGGACCATGGTGTCTTTGAACAAATGTCTTTTTATTGTGCATAGTTTTATATTCTGGGGGTTTAGTTCTAGAGAAAATCTAGGCCTAGCACAGTGTGAGGAACGCTGTAGTGTTGTTTCTTTTCCCTTAAAAACACAAGAAAAATTGTTGTGGAGTCTGCAGTGAACATCTGTGTCCTTATTCTGCTAGGGCAGGGTGGAAGGTGCTGTTGGTTCCTCGTGTGCCACCTCTGAAGGGAACAGAATTTGGCCACCACACAACAGAAAAGAAAATATTTTCTTTTTATGGTCAGATTCAGTCACTTCCCTGAGCCACTCACAGCAGAGGCAGCTGCAGAACAGGGAGCGATGGCAGCAGTTTCACCCGGAATCTGTGAATTCCAGTGATCAAACTCCAGAACTGTCACTTCCCAAATGCATTGGGCAGCCTCTGCTTCTGTTGCTCTGCTCCTTGTGATTTGGGACAATGCTGGGAAGTTTGCAGACTAAATATTTGAATTTTTCTGTGTGTGCTGGTGTGATCCATGCCAGGCTAAAGCCCTAAAGGGACATCACTGAAGCAGCACCAGGATTTATACCTGGCCCTACCCCAGAGGGCTTCAGGCCACTCTCAGAAACATTTGGAACAGAATTTCCCTCTGGGCTGCTCTTCCTGTGATGACATTTAATATGAAGGAAGCCCTTCCACAGTAGAAGTGGCATTGTTAGACACAGCTCGTGTCTAATAGTGGCCGTTTTGGTACTGTAGAATAAATAGATTTAAAGTTGAGTTGATGTAGTCCCTCCCTCTCTAACATTCCACCTTGCTGCTGGAACAGGAATTCCAAACTCTGTTGGAGTATGTTGGGTGGTTCACACCCTTCCTGGCTGCTGGGAATGCTCAGGATTTCTCACACATCCATCCTGTCAGGCCAGAGCAGCTGCACAAACTCTGCCCCTGCAAGCCTGTGGGCAGTTTGCTGTCATCTCAGTAGTGTTAACTCTTAGAGGAGTTGAACTGGAAAAACCTCATTTGCTTTAGAGGGATGTGATGTTCATTTAGAGTAACTTAGATTTTGTTTTAAGTTCAGCATTGAGTTATATCATGTATTATTTGTAATTTTTTTGCCATAAACAGATACCTCAGTCAGGATTTCTTAACTTCAGCTTCTTGAAAGTATTTGTCTTCCTGCCTGGAAACAGGAAGCCTCCAGACATGGCTGAGCAGAGGAAACAAAAGTTTCTGACCTGCTTTGCATCACAGTAACTACTTCAGGTGGATTAGAAATCGCATTGGACTTGCATGACTTGAATCAGGCATAAAACTTATTTAAACAGAAATTTAATAACAACTTTGACATAATCCCCAGCCACTAAACCCTTTGTCTTCATTTTAGGAAGAGGGAATGTGATGTTATTACAGGAGGAAGACAGCTTGATTCATTTGCAATCTTCCAGTATCTGTCTCTAAGAACAAATGCGGCTGCTTTAGGCTGGCGCTGGCGGGTGAAGATTCCTTTCTTGTTCCCCAAAACTCGTGTGGTCCCTGCAGAGAAATTATAAAATAAAATATATAAACCAAGCTCTTCCAGGCCCTGCTGGGAGCTGTTACAGTGTAGGTACTAAATCTGGCCAGGTGGAAGAGACCTCTGCACTTTCTTCTGCACAGTCAGGTACAGCAGGGAGCTTGGCAGGATCCGTGGCTGTGACAGAGCAATCCAGCTGCAATTCCTTGTTTTTTACAGCTGGTGAGCTGGGACATTTAATTGGGGTGTGCCCTTTGATCAGTGTTATATCTACAATAGATTGGCTCCACCTTCAGATTGAATGGAGGAAATAATGACTGTTTACTGTCCTGTGTGGTGTCTGGATCCTTTCTGCCTGTTTTAATTTTCCTAGGAAATGAGAGAAGATTGCAACACATAGAGAGACTGGAACTGCATCTGTGTGACCTTGTCTACATGTTCTCAGTCCTTTTTGATGCTGCTTTTCTGGCCACTGCCATCTCTGAGCTTTCTAAAGCCTGTCCTGGTGCTCTGCAGGGTATTTTAGTGCTGTTCCTCCCTCTCACTGACTGCTCACCACCCCAACCCCCTGCAGGTGGCATAAGCAGAACCAGGTTCATTACTAGATCTGAGTTGTGATTGTTTAATTTCTGTGGGACTGCACTGTAAATGAAGGAATTTCCCTTCCTTTGTGACTGCACTTATCTGCATTGTGGAGTGTCACAGTGAGACAGCTGTTGTGTCAGTGTGGCATCTGCTCCTCTACTGCTAAACCTCTACCAAGTTCATATGGATTATTTAAGGTGCTCTGTTGCCAGGATAGCTGTAGGTGACACTGGAAGCAATAGAGATGTCCCTGACAGCTGCCTGAAGCTCTGAATTGAGGGTGGCCAAAACCCAGGAGCAACCTGGGTTCCTCACAAGCTTCCCCTGTGCATTGTCTCATGTTCCTGGGAGCAACTGTGAAGGAGAAAGGATGAATTAAGCACAGGCAGGACCTTCCCTCTTGGCTTTGGTCATGCTGGATCTGGTGACAAAACCAGCTGTGCTCCATCCTGGTGAAGAGAGGGCCTTTTGTCCTACCCTTCAGCACAGTCTTTGTGTGGCTTCAACCACTCAACTCCCAGGGAGGATGGAGAGGTGTTTGGAATATAAATAAAAGCTCACCTTGATTAGTCATGAAATCAGCAAAATTCCAGATGAGCTCCCCGACCACGTACTCCTTCCTCTTCTTGTCAAAGATGGCGTGGTACTCCCTGAGCATGGCCTGCTGGTACTCCTCACTGAACATCAGGGGTGGGTCCTGCAGCCAGGAGAACAGGGTGAGGGGACAAACCATCCCAGCACAGCCATTCCCACTGCCTGAGGAGCTATTCCTGAACAGAAACTCTGTGGCTGCCTGGTCTGCTGGTTGTGCTGTGTTAACATGGCTGTTGTGACCATTAGCAAACACAAAATTCCAGGTATTTCCAGGGGGAATTCCCTTGGTGGCTTTTGTCATGTCAGGGACAGCACCACAAAACCTCCATTCTCCAGGGTTTGCTTTCATTTAAGCATTTTCTACCACTGCCAAGGACAGGTTTTGGAGTCCTCTTTAAACAAAGTGAGTGGCAAAGCTCACTGGTTTTGATGGAGCAGGATCCCAATCCTGGAGCCTTTTGGACACTAAAGCATCTCACAGCAAACCAGGCCCAGTGGTGCCACCCTCTCCCAGTGCCATTTTGCTGCCTTGTAAGAGCTGTTTCCATCTGGCAAACACCACAACACTCACACTGTGCAGCCCAGGCACCGAGTCTGCTCCATATTCACTCTGGATAATGGGTTTTTGGTAGGTTTTATACCAGTTCTCAAACTGGGCTGTGAGCTGGACTGGGATCACTTCCAGGTGGCCTGGGTCATGGTACCAGGAGAAGTAGCTGTTCACACAAATCACATCCACGTAGGGAGCCTGCAAAAAACAAGGTGAGAGTGTTTTGGCACAGACTTCAACCTTCTCTTGTAAACCTAAATTCTCCTTTGGGTTCATTTAATGGAATCCAGGTTTATTACACGTGGAAAGAATTGTTTCCCCCATCACTCAGGCCCTCCAAACATCATCTCTTTCCCAGGAAAAAAAAGAGAAAAAGGATAAATTTAATAAGCTAACAGCATTAATCTGGCAATTTTTCTTACAGATTAGGAAGTAACAGCAAAGAGTTAGACAAGATCAACACGTTTCATTCTCAGGTTTGTTAGAAGTTTTTTTGTTTCCAAGATGTCTCTGGCTTGCTGGTACATTTAGATGTACTTTTTCTTTTTGAGTATTGGAATGTGATTATCAAGTGAGTGGTCAAATATTTTGACTAGCAACTAAATTTTGTGCATCAATGGTGCAATACTAAGACTAAAGCATTCTGCAAGTTATTTGCCATTTCTACCACATGGACAGTGTGATAAAAGGGCACAAAGCCCCCTCAAGATAAAGTGATGTTGTATGTAACTTGTTCAATGTTCTCTTAACATGTTTTGTAATAAAAGAAAAAGAAAAAAAGTTCTAATATCACATCAGTGTATGAGATCTGTTCTTTGGGTTTGTTTGCCTAAGCCTCTCCAGTTGGGCAGAGTGGGAATGGGACATCCAGAAGCAAATTCCTGCTGGGCTCTTTCAAATTTAAAGCATCAGAGGTTTAGTTTTTTTCTGGGGTGGGGAAGAAAAACCTCAGAGTTGCAGCCATTCCTGCTAATTAGAGCACATTTTAGAAGAAATCCAAAGTGTAACCTGGAGCAGGGATGTGTGGCAGCACCAACTCACCTGCTAGAAATGATTATTGTACAAGGATCTACCCTGGAAACAAACACAGGTGTTAAAAAATCCTTGGTCCATGCTATGAAAGGCCCAAAAATCCAAGGAAAGTGCCTTTTGGTTATTTATCCAGCTCTAGGGCTTTAACTGTGGAGCTGGAGGAGCTTTTAGATTACTCAACACAAAGAGACATCTGCCAAAGAAGATCTAGAGCAGTTTAAAGCAGGAATTAAAGCAAAGCTTCCTTCCTTTAGACTTCCATAAGGGTTGTGAGCATTTTAAAGAGGTTTAAGCTTTGGCTTAATTGCAAGTGAAATTCCTGAGCATTAGTAAACACAATCAATGGCACAGCAAAGCATGACAATATTTATGGAATTCAGGGACATAATCCTGCACACAAAGAATTGTTCTCCTGCAGATCCTTTTTCTTGCACTACAACTACAGGATAAGAAGATTTCTACTAGAAACAAAAACATAATTTTTCTTTAGCCTTTCCCTGCTAAATACCTCCTGTAAATTTAGGGAAGGAGGTGAGGAAAGGACTATAAAACAAGAGGAGGAAATTTAATGTATGAATTAAAAACAACAACAACAAAAAAAGAAAAAGCTAGAAAAATGAAGCAAACTTACACCATGATCAAGAGCGTAATTAGCATCTGTCACAAAGGTGACTGGTCTGGAGGGGTCGAGAGCTTTAGTGTGAGCTATCACTGTCCTGTTTGCAAACAGTAAAGCAAGAGTTCAACAACAGCGTGGAGAAGCACAGCCCCCTCTCCCCAGGCTCTCTGTCCTTCCACCCACAGAGCTGCTTTTGATTTAGCAGCCAGTGTTCTAATGAAATAAAGGGAATATCTGCCACCTGAAAGAGAGCAGAGTGGAAGCACACCAAGCACAGGCACATGGGGTGGTGCCAGCAGCTTAGAAGTTGAAGGGATAGTTGAGTTTGAGGATGAAACTGTAAAAAGGGCAATGGGAAGTTTCTGAACAACTCCTGGGATGTGTTCTTGAGGCTCTGTGCCACAGCAGGCAGAGGTTGGATGCTTTTGAGGAAGCCCTGAGTGAGGGAGATGGGACAGAATGGGACAATGAAGCTCTGCTGCTGCCCTGACACTGCAGGAGGGTGGTAGAACATCCTGAAGAATGAAACTTCACATTTCTCTCTTAATGTACCTACAGCTCCCAGGGACAGCCTGCTGCCCATTACACAGCTGCCTCTGGGCTCTCCAAAGCTTAAATCTCTTTAGAAATACAACCAAGGGGACTGCAGGGACTCAAAGCAGTGGCTTTGAAGTGGGGAGGCACAGAACAAATAAGCAGCACTAACTGCAGAACCTTGTGTTCACAATGAAAGGCCAGTTATTCTACAGCTTTGCTGTAATTCTCAAAGGATTCAGCACTCATCTGCCAGTGCTAACAAGGAATGTTCCATTCTCACCAACATTTTACTTAACCCTTAGTTCAAGAAGAGATGCTCAAACCAAGTGGACTCCTGGTAATTTTGTGGAGCCTTGGTGGTTCAGAACCAACACGCTGGGACAGTTCTGAGCATCAGTTTGACACATGCAGCCGTTCCATTTCAGTTTGCATCTGCAGCTTCAGTTCCAGGGTCCCCAGAAAATGCCTGCCCTCCCTTTACTACCTCTCTGTGCCATCCCAAAGGAAGAAGAGGCTTCAGCAGCCAAGAGATGAGGAGCAGAGGCACTTACTTGAAGTAGTGAGCAGCTGGGGGCAGCTCTGACGCCGGCTCGTTGGCCACTGACCACATGACCACTGAGGGCCTGTTCTTATCCCTGCGGACCAGCTCCTCCATCACAGCCAGGTGATGCTGCAGGGACTTGTTCCCAAAGCTCTCTCTGGAAGACAGAAGGAGATGAGGCTGTAAAATCCATCCCCTCTGCCTTTCCCTGTGAAAACTCGGCCTCTGGGCACAGCAGAGCCTTGATGCTGAGGATGACTGAGGATGGCTTCTGCCCTATTTCCACAAAGTTTGCTGCACAGTTCAGGGCCGTGGTTTGGGCTCATTAAAGGAGCCATGTGGCAAAATGTGGCAAAATGCCCTCTGCTTGCCCAACATCCCGAGGCACCGGTGGTGCAACCGGAGATTTCCAAACGGAGCAAAGTACTCCCACTATCAGCACAGGGTGTCCACTGAGGACAAAAGTGTCAGAAGGGTAACGGGACACTTGGAAACAGCTCAGGGAGGAGCAGAGGAGCGAGGGGCAGGGCATGCTGGGCAGCTCTTACGGCAGTTTGATGCCCACCCCCGGGCTCTCGTCGATGACCACGATGCCGTAGGCGTCGCACAGGTCCATGATCTCCTCGGCGTACGGGTAGTGGCTGGTGCGGAAGGAGTTGGCCCCCAGCCAGCGCAGCAGGTTGAAGTCCTTCACAATCAGGGGCCAGTCCAGGCCTTTGCCACGGATCTGGGGGGAGAGAGAAATCGCCCCTTGTGAACACAACTTCCCTGCTTGATCCAGCCCGACAGCCACTGGCACAGTCAGAGGGGTTTGGGTTGGAAAGGACCTTAAAGCTCGTATCATTCCACACCTTCCACTAGCCCAGGTTGCTCCAAGCCCTGTCCAACTGGCCTGGAACGCTTGCAGGGATGGGGCAGCCACAGCTTCTCTGGGAACCCTGTTCCAGGGCCTCCCCACCCTCATGGCAGAATGACTGACTGTCAGCGTGTCTGACTGAAAGCTCTGGCTGGGAGATGCTTCAGGGTCTCCACCAGCACATCCACGTGCCCTGAGGGATGCCATGACTGTGGCAGGACCAGGCATGGTGTCCCCTTAGTGCTTAGGCTGGGAGGAGAGCGTGAGGAAACAGCTCCTGGGAGAGGAGAGGGGAGGGGAGGCAGCGCAGGTGCCACCTCAGCAGCAGGAGCTTTGGCCCTGGGTGTCCCTGCTGTGGGTGCCACACTTACATCTGCATCCTCGTGCTTGTTGACGCCGTGGAAGTAGAAGGGCCTGCCATTGATGAGGAACTGGGTGCTGGTGACGTGCACAGTGCGGATGCCGACCGGGAGCGTGTACACGTCCTCCAGCAGCGCCTCGCCCACCTGGGCCTGCATCTTCACCTGCACATCCAGGGAGGAATGGGAGGGATCCTCAGGGGGATGCCCAGAGCTCCCTCCCCATCTGTGAGGGAGATTTTGGCTCCACATCCTTTCCCAGCCCTGCCTCAGCACACAGCCAGTTCCTCACTGCTGCTGCTTGGGGGGAGCCAGGTCTGACTGAACACAAAATAGAAATGCAAGGTGTGGAAGCTGAAGGATGAAGAATCCAGCCCCTGGATAACCCTTCTGGCACTTGCTCATCTCAAACACTTCAGTGTCTTTTCCCCATAGCATCCCCCAGGCCACTTCTGTGCCCTGGACAGAAAATGCAATCATGCTGACTGACACATCACCTGCTGGGGACTCAGAGCAGCTCACCCTCCCCAGGTTCTGCACATGAACATCACTACTGACCCCTAACTCCCTCAGAAGCTCCCAGGCTCGAGCTAGTGAACTCATCATCTCCTCGGAGGGGATGGACTGGACCCTCAGTGTGAAGGGCCAGCACCTCAGAGCACACTCCAGGAATGCTCTTCTCTCTGGCAGACTCTTCAGGAGCTGCCAAAGCTCGATTTGATTGCTGCCTAATTAGCAGAGTCACTCTAGTCACATGCACAGGGCCCGTGAGAGAACAGAGGATGGGCCCTATGGCAGTGCCTTCACCCTATGAAACACACACAGAGAGGAGGAAATGCCACTTTACCTCCAAGGAATACAGGTATCCAGGGTTCTCGTGCATCAGGTAAGGCCACCAGAGGTTTGGGTTGAGGACTTTGAGCTCTCCCACTGGGCCATCAGCTGTAGCAACCACCTTCCCCTCTTGGTCACGTAAACTCAGGGACAGGGAATTGGCTGTGCTGCCAACCACTACCACCTGATACTGCACCATGGCTGGCTCAGGAAACAAAAGACAATCAGAGACTGCAAGAGGACAGCTCAGCCTCAGGAAAAAGCCACCAGGAAACAAATTCAATCAGACTCATGCAGAATATTTTCCCTGCTGCTCTGGTCACCTCCATTTGGAGTCTGAGGGAGCTGTAATTGCTCAGGACCTACCAACACTGTCTGATGAGGTGGTTGTCACAGTGATGTCATCGATGTAGGCAGCAGGAGTGGTGTACAGCACAACTGGGCGGTGGATTCCAGCATAATTAAAGAAATCAAACCTGGTGTTCTGCACAAAATAATTCTTGGGGTACCTGAGTGAGCAAGACAGGAAAACTGGCTGCATAACACTGCTGAAGGCAGCATGTGGATGCTGGCAGTGCAAAATAATTGTGTAAAACATCTTTATGACAGGCTGGATCTGTCTTTCTCCTGCTACACTGAAGGATTTTGCAGTTAACAAAGAAGTTAACAAAGAGCTTGATCCTTCAGGAGAGCTGGTACTTGCAGCTTCCAGCTGAATCCAAGCTTCTCAAACCAGCCCTTGATTCAGCTTGACAAATCAGCCAACCTGAGCTCCCTGTGCACACAACAGATGCAATAACTCACTGCTGATTCCCCATACCACCACAGCTTAAACTCCTCGCTGCTCTACCAACAGAATTCACCACAAAGACAACCCCATGGAGGGATTTATGAACCAGCAGTTGAATAAACCAACCCTCTCCCACACCCCTGGGATGAGCCCAGCAGTAAAACAGCCCAGGAACTCGCCTTGATTTGTCAGTCATGTACTGGATGGAGCCTGGGGGCAGCGTGTGGGGGGTCAGGGTGTTGTTGAGGGCGACGGTGATGCGGCACAGGGTGTCTGGGCTGCCCTGCACCACGCTGCTGATGTCAGCCTCAAAGGGCAGGTGCCCCCCTTCGTGTTCCACCACCTGTACCCCGTTCACCCACTGCAAGGAAAGACCCCAAAAAAATGGGTTATTGGGATTCTGCAGTGAGCAGAGCACGGAGGAGGGAAGCTCAGTTACAAGGAACACCTGAGCTCTTGATCCTCAAAGGATCTTTGAGGGAACAATCTCTTGGTCTTTGCCAGGAGCTAGGTCTGGGTGACAACAAGTGTCACTGAGGGACACAGTTTGGGGCAGAGCCATTAGCCAGGAAATGTTTAGTTACCAATCCCGAAACTGCAGAATCAGAGAAGAGAAATTACAATTCATTCTTGCTGGGGGAAAACAGGCACGAGCTCAGAAGGGGATGCAAAATCGAGGCAGGGACGCATTTGCTGAACAAATCATAAATCTGACTTCAGTCCAGGCTAATTTAGGAAGCCCAGGGCCGCACGTACCACGATGGAGTAGTAATGGGCACTCCCGAAGCGCAGCACCACCCTGGGGGCGGGATCGCCCTGCAGCCAGCGCAGGGGGAGCAGCACCTCCTTCTCGTACCATACCCAGCCGATGTAATTCTCCAGGCTGGGGTCCTGAGTGATGTCGTTGAAGCTGGCAGGCACTGGCATGTCAATCACAGGGCCGGTCTGGCAGGAATTACATGGAAAAATAAGGAACAGAGTTTAAAAAGAGTAATTTTACTACTGGAGGTGTCCCCTTCCACTGACAGCCTTACAATGCCTTTGCCAAGGGGAAATCCTTGGGAAAAGCTGTTTAAAAACTGCTGAGATCGCTCACAGCTCCTACACAAGCCCTAATTAGCACCAGGCACAGGAACCTGCCTGTTCCTACAGGAAGCAGCTGCTCCTTTCTTTTCCCCTCCTGCTGTGCAATGAAATGTTTTCATTAATGGCTCTGGCATCACGGAATCAGAGAAGTGAGTGGGGAAAATCCCAAGGCCAAGTTGTTGTTTCAGTGGGAATTTTCTCCTGCACAGCTCAAAGAGCAACGTGGAGGTTGTGGTGCTGTTTGTCAGCTAAGAGCTGTAGTAAAAGGGTAATAAAATAATAGATATTTTGGGCAGTAATAGATATTTTGGGATATTTTCCTCCCCATGGAGACTGGGACAAGTTCAGCCTTTCTCACTGTATGAAAGCAACAGAGATTCCTTGGGATTACAACAGAATCCATTCAGTTGCTTATTCCAATATGAAGATTAGAGGGAGGCAGTGTCACAGGACATTGAATATTGAGGAATCCAGATGCTGTTGCTAAACAGCTAAACAGCATGTTGCTGTTCGTTTTCAGCATTTTCTGCACTCAGGATGTTGCACAAAGGAGTCCTGCAGCTTCTCCTTTCCTGAGGAAGCTTCAGGAAACGGAATGAGGAAGGTCTGAGCACTCAGGGTGGGCATCATGTGCGGGGCTGACTCAGCACTGGCACTGCAGAGAGCCCAGTGCCCTCATCAGAAAATCCTAGTGGGAAAATCCTTGGATGGGGAGGAGGATTTTCTAGTATCTGATGTAGGAAAACTCTTGCCTGTGCTGGCCAAAACCTGTGTACTCCTTCAGGGTGATTCTCTGAGGTCTAAAACAGGTTGAGTGCACCCATCTAAGCCTCCCTTGGAGGGGGCATATTTCAGGATTCCTCTCCTCTGGCAAAACTTCCAGCAGCACATTGCCCTTCAGCTCTTCTCTCCTTCCACAATCCGGCACCAAAATCGGCCAAAAGGCTAAGAATAGAAATAATGAACGACTTATCCATTTTATGCATAAAACCCATTAATCTTTTCTGCCAGGTAACGTAGTTAATTTCCAAGCAGATCCCAGCCACATCAAAACTTTTCTACCAGCACTCTGAAACTTTGGAATAAGCAATTCCCGGTGCCCATTTTTGCCGATTCTGTGCTGCTGGAAGCTCAGCGCCGTGCACGGCCCTGCAGCACGGGACAGCCACGGGTGAACGGGCTCCGTTCAATCGGTGTTTGCCTTCGGAGCAGCACCGGGGCATCATCAGGGCCGGCTCATTAGGAACCGCCTCGAGAGAAACCCGGGCAGCCCGGCGGGGAGGAAGGCAAGGAAAGAGGAAGGGAGAGAGAGAGGAAGAAAGAAGCGGAGCCCCCGCAGCCCGGCTGGGAGGGGAAGGAGCGCAGCCCGTCCGTGCCCGCCGCTCCCCGCTACCTGCCGGAGCGGCCGCCGGTACCAGCGCTGCGCGAAGCCGGCGTCCCTGCCCGGAGACAGATCGGCGCGGAAGCTCCAGAGGCCGCCGAGCTCCCTGCGCTCGCGGGAGGGGGTGTCTCGGGGCTGCAGCATCCCGGCGGGACCGGCCGCCAGCCCCGGGAGGAACAGCAGCAGCACCGGCAGCAATAGCGGGCATGGCCTGGCACCGCCGCCGCCTGAGGCCGCCTGCGCCATCTTGGCTGTGGGCGGGACCCGCCGGGGAGGGGCGGGGCCGGGGAGGGTGAGGGGCGGGGCTGGGTGAGGGGCGGGGCCAGAGCCCGATCCCGATCCCGATCCCGATCCCGATCCCGATCCCGATCCCGGTCCTGATCCTGATCCCGATCCCGATCCCGGTCCTGATCCCGATCCCGATCCCGATCCCGGTCCTGATCCTGATCCCGATCCCGATCCTGATCCCGGTCCTGATCCTGATCCTGGCCACGATCCCTGTCACTGTCACGATCCTGATCGTGATTCCTGTCACTGTCCTGATCCTGATCATTGTCACTGTCCTGATCCTGTCACTGTCCCGATCCCTGTCACTGTCCCGATCCCGGTCCCGATCCTGATCATTGTCACTGTCCCTACCCCGATCCCTGTCACTGTCCCGATCCCTGTCCCGATCCCCCCCAGCGGGATGAGCGATCGCAGAGCCCGACAGGGACCGGGTCCTGTCCCCACAGAGCCCCCGGATAAAGCCACGAGTGTCCCGGAGTGAAGGCGCCTCCAGGAACTTTCACACTCGGTCCTGGATCGCTGGATTCCATCGAGCGGCGAATGGTCCCCTCTCCCTTTCGCCTCCTCTCCTTTTTATTACTTAGGCGTTTAAATGTATCGATCACCCACCTGTACTTATTTATTCATCTTCTTATTTACGCACTTATTTATTTATCACAGAATCATTAAGGTAGGAAAAGACCTCCGAGGTCACCGAGTCCAACCTGTGACCCAACACCAGCCTGTGACCCAGAGCAGACCAGTGTCACATCCACTCTTCCCTTAAACACCTGCAGGGATGGTGACACCACCTCCCTGCACAGCCCCTTCTGATGTTTGATCACCCTTTCTGTGAAGGAACCCCTCCTGATGTCCATCCTAAACCTCCCCTTAAGCACAGCTTAGGTTTATTGTTATTATTTCTTGCTTACTTTTGGTTATTTCTTTATTGCCTGCTTGCTTACCTCTATTTATTTTCAGAGTCACTTGTTGAAGAGTGAAGGTTAAAAGTTATTGGAAGTGGCAGAACGGGTGATTCTTGGGGACAGGAGGGAGGATGAGCTCTTGAAGAATCAAGATGCAAAAGCAGAATTTCAGTGAACTACAGACACCCCAGTGTTTATTAACTCCAGACTGAAACATTTTCTCTTTTCTGCTGCACTTCTTGCACCTGGATTTCTCGTTTTTTTCTGAGCCGAGCTCTTTTGGAATACTCTCTCAAGGGGAGTTCTGTTTATCTCAGTTCTCCGGGTCAGGAAGAAAACTCTAAAGCTCGTTAGGATCTTGTTTCTTGTGTTTATTTGGATGTTATTACAAAACTTGGCAGGCTTTTCTAGACTTTTTTTGCACAAGTTTAATTCATTTTGCCTTTTGGCTCACTTTAGCTCTCAAGGCACAAAATGGCCTCAAACTATGCAGTTCTTTTATTTTTATATTTATTTGTATCTAATTAACAACAGACACGTATATTATTTTTCTTAATGACTCAATGACCCATCACTTGTGTGCTGCACTGCGGCATTTTCTATCTAATCACTCATTATTACTCAAAAACTTCTAGAAGAAGAAAATGAAGAAGAAAGAAGAAGAAAAAGAGACAACACTTTAAATTCTCTATCTTGTCTTCTATTTTTTTAAACTAGTTTAACTCTTTCACCTAGTGACCTAAGAAAACTTTCTAATTTACACACTCACACTTTAAGCTTTTTTATTTAAATGTAATGATTGTTTTCATGTAACACCACGAAAACATGCCTATAAATTTCACCTTCTATGAAATTCAGTGTTCTCCTGGATCTCAGAGCCAGGCATCAGAGACAAGGGCACACACTTTGTGTTTCAGACTCCAACACAGACCGAGGGGTGGGGATCTCTCCCCACACTCTAAGCCTGTTCCTTGAGCCTCTTGAGCAGCTCCCTCAGCTGCTCGATCTGGGCGGACACGCTGCTCTTGGCGGTGCCGCCCGCGGCCGTGTACTGCTCCACGCTGCTCACCACGCTGAACACCTGCGCCACGTCGCTGCCAAACAGGGGGCTGGGGGCACAGCGGGGCTGTCAGGGGGCTCTGGGCTCTGCACAGGGCTTTTGGGCACTTTGAAATAACAGAGATACAAACCTGATGTTCTGCAGCTCCTCCAGGCTGAGGTTGTTGATGGTGATGCCTTTGGTCTCGGCCAGCTGGACGGCTTTGCCTGAGGCCGCGTGGGCTTGTCTGAAGGGCATCTGCAGGGGGAAGGGGACAGGGCAGAGGGGACTCAGCTCAGTTCCTCTGCATCCAAAGGAATCCCAGCTCCAGCTCTCCCTCTGGCACTTACTCCCTTCCGAACCAGGTAGAGAGCCAGGTCAGTGGCCAACATCTCCGGGCTCAGTGCCCTCTCCATGTTCTCCTTGCTGATCTGCAGGAGGAGGATCCCAGGGACACGTTACCATCAGCTCCTCCTTGGGGAGGGGTCAAGGTGAGGAGAATTCATCAGGAGCTCTAAAACAATGCTCTGGCCCCCTGAGCAGCTGACAGAGGGGACCAAAGTGAGCAGCGTGGGTGAGGCACTCAGGTTTTCATTTGGGAGCAATCTGGAGCTCTGCTCTCTGTGTTACGCACAGAATATGCACCATGATGATGCTGAAGAGTGAGAAGATGAGAAGAATCCTTACCTGGAGGGTGGAAATCACTCCAGTGGCAACCTGGAGCACAGCATTCAGGGTGTCTACGACATCAAAGACGGCCTCCTTGTCCTCCTGTATTGGAACAGCGATGGAAATGGCTCTGAGCCAGCCTGGTGCAGCCCAAAAACCCCCCAGGCCGAGCAGCCCAGCTCTCCTGACTCCTCCAGCCAGCAGGAGAGAAGCTGTGGAGAGGAACAAGTGCTTTACCTGCAGGTCCTTGTTGTAGGTGCTGGGGAGTCCTTTGAGGACCATGAGAACTGCAGCCAGCTGCAGAGGGAAGCAGGAGAGGCACGGAGTGAGGCACAGAGCAAAGCACAGCCCCAGGGCAGGCTCAGAGCACACAGCTCTTCACAAAGGAAAAGGCAAGGAAAAGGAGATTCTCCAGCCCCAATAGGAGCAGTTTCCTCTCCCTCTTCCTCCTTGTTGGGGCTCACCCGGCCGAACACTCGCCCGGCTTTGCTGCGGATCAGCTCCAGACTGTCGGGATTCTTCTTCTGAGGCATCAGGCTGCTGCCAGTGCTGGGTGGGAGATGAGTGGAGTGCACTGGTGAGCAAAACCCTCACCCACACACACACACACATCATCACTCACCCAGCCCTCCAAAAGCAACGTGTAGGACCCTCTTCACTGTGCTCCTGTTTAGGAAATCAGTGAACTCACTGAGCTGCTCTTTGATTTTGCACCTTGTCTGGAGCTGCTACAGAGTCCCACCTCTCACAGAGAAACTTAAAAGGGGGCTCCCCCCTCCAGGCTCCCCCGGGTGATATCAGCAGGTCAGAATAAGTGTTAGTGTGACCTCAGGGAGGGAGGGCTGTGTTTGTGGCACCCCAGAGACAAGGAGTCTGCTGGGATTGCAAACCCAGCCAGGCAAGGAAGGGCTCTGGCAGCATTCCCAGCACAGGAGGAAGCTCTCTCTGCCCAGAGCTGAGACCTACCTGTAGGCATCAGAGAGGGTGAGGAAGCCGAACTCGCTGGTGCTGTAGATGATGAGATCCTCAGCCATCTTGCTGAGGTGGATCATCAGCAGGGTGGCAACTGACAGGAATTCCACTGCAGGCAAGGCAGGAGATCAGGAGGGGGAAAAGGTGCTGGGACAACCCAGGGAACCCTGAGTGATGGATTCCAGCCCCTTCTTAAGTTATCTGGCAAGGTGTCAGGTTCCCCCAGTGCTGGGAGGCTTTGGCTGTGCTTACCCACAAAGTCCCTCTCGCTGACAGCATCCATGCTGTTCAGGCTGATGGAAGCAAAGTCCAGCTCTGCAGGGAAGGGGATGGACACAGGAGGTCACACTGGCCCTGACAGCAGCCTGAATGCACCAGGCTGCCCCAGGGGAGGTGACTTGATATCTATTCATTATCCTCCATCATTATCCTCCACCCCCTTGTTAAAGTGCTGCAACACATCCACAATAACAGCAGGACAATCTGCTGATGCTTCCCAAAATCCCAGATATTGTGAGTAGTCCTGTTCCTTTATCCCAGGGAGACATTTACCACTGCACAGCAGCTCTCTGTCGATTCCCAGGGGGTTTCCAGCCAGAGCTCCACTGCCAGGGGAGAAAGAACCAGAAGTCACCCGTGATATCCGAACTGATATCTGACAAAAACTGAGCTCTAGTGATGTCACCTCTCTGAAGATTTCCCTCCCCCAGTTCATTTTGATGTCACAGTGTGGTCTGAGGCTCATCAAACCCTGAACTCTGGACTAAACCAGATTTTCTCTCCCAAACAGGAAGGGATGCTTAATGGAAGCCTTGTAATCCTTGACTTCAAGAAGGAAGAGAAAAATATTTCTGTGTTGAGAGTCTTTGGAGAGGGAAGCTGGGCTGCAGTGTCTATGGAATAGAAAGCCCAGTGGCTCAGGGGATGGACAGATCTGTCTCTTGTCTTTATCTCAGAGACAAGTGAGGGCTGAGGATCACAATATAAAACACACTTTACCTTCCCAGAGGCAAGACATTGATCCTCCTCTTCACCTCTCCCAGGCGCTCAGAATCCCGGGTCAGAGCAACAGCATGGCTGGGGAGGGACAGGAGAGATGAAACATGGAGATGAAGCTGGAAAATATCCCACTCCAGGAGGTGAGAATGGCCAAAGGATGGAGGACAGGGTGTTTCCCAATCCATGCTTGGATTCCCAGCTGGACAGAGCCACACAGGGAATTCCTGCTTAAGTTTGCAGGGCTCCCTCTGGTTTGACACCACCCCTGGCTGTCCCCTCAGCACAGCAGGGCCCCGAGGGTGCAGAGGGTGGGAGGTGCTCACCTGAGCAAGAACTGGCTCCATCGGATGGGCTGAGCTTTCTGCAGGTGGGTGTAGCCAGGCAGGATCACATCGATTTCTCTGGGAGGAAAAGGAGGACAAACCCAGGAGTCTCCTCCCCAAAAAGGCCAAAGTTACAGAAAACAGGGACTGTGAGAAAGGACTCACATGGCAGCACGTTCCACCAGGGTCTCAATGAGCTGCAGGAGGTGTGTGGAGATGATGGAGAGGGAATTCTTCAGGAACAGCTTCAGGTCAGTCACAACCTGTGGGAGATTGGACACAGTCAGGCCAAGCACAATGGGACAGAATCAGTGACCAAATATTGCTCAGCAGAACCCCCAGGCACTGTTATCCACTCCTGGCTCTGTGCAAAGGGAAGGGAAATCTCATATGGGATGTATCCCTGGTCACTGATTTCTGAAAGCTGCTGTTGCTTTCCATGGACAGAACCAAAATCTGTTATTTCCATATTGTCAGATATTGTCAAATTTGTAACAGAAATTTCCCAACAAACACAAGCTGATCATCCTGAAGAGGACTGAGCCTGAAAGATGTGTGTAACCAGCCAGCAAAGTCAGGGGTCCTGGGGGTTTTCAGAGATGTCAGTGGAATTTTGTGGCCTTTTACCACCAGGATGCAGCCCTGCAGATCCCACTCCCCTGGGTGGATGAGTCACTGCAGCATCATTAGTTTGAAGCCATCATTAATTTAAAGGGAATACAGGCTGGAGTGTGTCAGGGCATGAGAGAGAAGGCATAAAAATATTCAATTAAAGAACTGAGGTGGAGGAATAGAGGAGAAAAAAATGCTTCTGTCCATACCTGATCATTCCTGCTTCTGCCAGTGTGCAGCTTCCCAGCTACGTCTCCAATCAGCTCCTGAGGACAAGAGCAGGAGTTGTGTCAGCATCTCTGTGCTCTGAGCAGGACAGTGCACATCAGCACATCTCCCTGCCTGGAAAGGACTCAGCTCCAGGATCCTGAGAGGAACCACGGCACGTGTGCTGGGAAGGGCAGCTTTGGGCTCTGTGCTTGTGCAGCCCCAAAAGGGGGTGTGGAGACCCTTGGCCGTGCCCCAGCGGGGTCAGTGCCAGCAGCTCTGAAGGGATTTCACAGAGGGACAGAGGGACAGCCCTTCCTGTCAGGCAGAGGATCAGGAACAAGAGGCTGGAGGAGCCAAACCTTCAGCCTGCGCTCGTTGGCAGTGTGGATATCCTCATCAGTCTGGATCACACCAAAGACTCCTTTGGACCATTCCTCAGAGATCTGCAAACAGCAGAAACAGCAGTTCAACAAGAACAAGAGTTATTCAATCCAGGGAGGCTGGTCAGGAGCCATTCATTCACCTGACAGTTTTTGAAGGGAAGAAATACCTTTTCCAGGCCACCCAGGATCTTCTCCAGCTCAGTTTTAGATAGGATTCCAGACTTCTCCAAGGCTTTGGCATAAGCCCTGCTCCCCTGGATATCCACCTCAGCCAGCCTCTGGTCGTAGCTAATGGAAGCATTGAGCATCTCCATGATAGGATCTGTGCTTCCACTGAATCTTCCACCCCAAAGTTTATTCCCCTGAGAGAGAAAATAGAAAATTAAAGAGGCCTAATGAGTTCAGATAAATCCTATGCACTCAATAACATCCAGTGATCCATTTATCTGATACAGAGGCTGTGCTCAGCTCCTTTCAGTGTGACAGCACTGACCAGAAAGTCCCCTGGACTCCAGGACCTCTGGCAAGTGGTTGAAGAGCTGGAGAACACATCAGTGTCAGAGTTATTTCCCCCTGAGCTCGGAGGTCTGGCCCAGGAACCCTCCAAGATATTTTATGTCTGCAGGATTCTGCTGGGAGTCCTTGAAATTACTGTCAGGGAAAGATGCAAGACCAGCACAGATTTCTGTTTTTAGGCCTCGTAAAAGGAGGAAAAACGAAGCAGTCAGTAGGATTAGACTGACATTAATATCCCCTAAATCCTTTTTGTGCTGTTTAACTAACAGATTCTCTGACCGACCAAGAGCTGTGGGCCAGCACAGCAACAGAAGTGGGGTTTTCCCACCCAAACCAGGATTGCTGTGGTGACCTCAGCCCCTGGAATGTGTCACCCACTTCAGAGGGTGACAAAAGGCTTGTGCAGGGCTCCAGCTGTGCCCCACAGCAGGGCGGGTGTTGTGTGGGAGCCTCTCCAGCAGTGATTCAGAGCCTGGGTGGCCTCACCTGAGCTGTGTCACCTGCCCAGAAGCTTTTTTGCATGCCCAGGTTGGACAGCCCGAGAAGTTTTAATTCTGCCAGGCTTGCACTGCAGTGGGTGAGAATTTTACTTGGGCAGAGACAATTTTATCCAAGATTTCAAAGCAACTCTGCAGTGCTACCAGTGCACAAAAAGGGATTGGAGGACACCTGAAGTAAGGGATTAAATACAGCTGCATTGCAGAGTGGACAATTACTGATCTACTTGATCTTTTAAACACCACTAGCAAGTTTCTTCTCATGCTGGTCACTATACCATGGCCAGAGCTGGCAGGACAGCTGGAAGCTGATCTGTGCCAGGGCTTTACTAGCCAGACAAAACATGGTTGAGTAACCTTAAAAATGTTTTCCCTGGTGACTGTTTCCATGTCCCTGTGCCTGAAAGGACAACAGGAGAGAGCCTGCAGAGGTGAGGGTGTAGCCATGTCTGAAAACTGGCTTTGTCAGAAAGCTGAGGGAAGGCAGAGAGAGGAATCAGAATTGAAAATGAAGTGTTAGAGATCCTCAGCAATCATTTGGTGCCCCAAGGAGAAAAATGAATGCTAAATTAAAGGCCATTCCAGAGGCTCAGCGCTTAAGTGGAGACCAGGAATATCCAGGTGTAACTTCGGTATTTAAAGCTTCCCATCAAAGCAAGGAGTGTGTCAGCAGAAACATTGCAACATACACATTTACAACCGGGAAACCAAAGCTGGGGGATTCATTTTAGGCACCTCCAGGACTCTTTGGAGCAGCCTGGCAGTGAGGGCACCGCCTGGAACGCGGAGCAGCGACTCGCAGGGCACAAAGCGAGCTCGCCAGGATGCCTGGTCACGCCTGGGCAGGGAAGGAAACTGAAAATGCCGCTTTTGTGCCGAGCAGTGTTTACACAAGCTGCGGGCAAGTGCCAGAGCACGAGGATCGGCCTTGCCCAGGGGGGGCTCCGGGACAGCCTCGCTCGGCCGAGCAGCCCCGGACAGCCCCGGGAAGCAAAGTTCGCTCACCTCGGCTGCTGCCATCGCTCCCCGGCGGGCACAGACCCGGGCCCGGTCCCGATCCACTCCCGGCTCCGATCCCAGCTCCAATCCCGGGCCCAGCTCTGGTCCTGGTCACAGTCACGATCCCAGCTCCGGTCCCAACACCAGCTCCAAACTCGGTCCCAATCCCAGCTCTGGTTCCGATTCCAGATGTGTCCCGGTCCTGATTCCAGCTCCAATCCCAATCCCAATCCCAGCTCCACTCTGGTCCCAGTTCCGCTCCCGGTGCCGGTCCCAGCTGCAGTCCTGGTCCCGATCTCAGCCCGGTGCCGATCCCAGTCCTGGTCCCGATCCCAGCCTGGTCCCGATCTCAGCCCGGTCCCGATCCCAGTCCTGGTCCCGATCCCAGCCCGGTGCCGATCCCAGCCCGGTCCCGATCCCAGCCCGGTGCCGATCTCAGCCCGGTGCCGGTCCCAGCTGCAGTCCTGGTCCCGATCCCAGCCCGGTGCCGATCCCAGCCCGGTGCCGGTCCCAGTCCCGGCCCGCTCCCGCAGCTCGTCCCGCCCGCCGGGGCGGGCAGTCCCCGGGCCAGCCCCGCTGCCGCTCCTTGTGCCCCGCCTTGTCCCTGTGCCTCCCAGCACACCCAGGAGCCGCATCCCCGCTTCCTTGTCCCCTTCAACCATCCCCGCTGTCAAACTCAGCTGGGGAGGAACCCAATCCAGGTCCCTGGGTCCTTGTCCGGAGCAGCAGGACACTGCCGGTGACATCCAGCTGCCTCTGGCGGCCCCACCAGGTCCTTTCACAGCTGGATTTCCAGCGTAGTGCCCTCTGTATCCGTCCGGAACAAAGCTCAGACTCTGTAGCCACCAGTTCATTCACTGCTTCTCAAACATTTCCACTCCTGATTATTTCTTTTTCCTTTTCAGACTTCCAGGCTTGAGGATGCACAGACCATCACTGTCTACACCGAGAAAAACCCTTTGAAGCTTTTCATTTTCAGATTCCTTCTTCTTCTGGAGTCCCTCACTTTTAATGCTTCTTTTTTTTGTGTGTTCATCCTTTATGGATGGCCCTGTTCCAGGCTTTGACAGAAGTTTGCTGAGGGTTTGGAAGAATGGTGAGCACGAGATTACATCCAGAATGAGCCAGCTGATGATCAGCCTAAGTGAATTCCTGGCTCAAATGCCTTCCTGTGGCCTGTAATGAGCAGGGGTTTGAGACCAAAACCCAAATCCCAATGAGTCAGAGCAGGGTGATGGTGAAAGTCTGAAGACACCGTGAAGCACGCTCTGTAACATCTGTGGAGCTCCACAGACCCCTCCAATCTAAAATATTTCACAATTTTAAGAAAAGGGCGGATGGGTGGGAAGTACCAGTGACTGTAAACTACTTATTTCAGTAAGAGACTAAAATGTGGTAATCTTTAAATAATTTTCCTTTCATTTTGGCCCTGTGTCACCCAGCACTGGCCATGAGGGACAAAGCCAGACTTCTGCTGCTGGGTGCAAGAGAAAATCTGTTCAGCTGAGGATCTGAAGAGAAGGAACCAGAAGATACAAATAGGAAAAATAAGGGGAGTGGCGTGGATCAAGAAAGTTTATGGGAGGGAAAAGAATTGTGAGGGGGAGATGAGGAAATCTCTGTTGTTCTGACACTGCAGGTGTTGAGTATTGGTGGTACCTGTGGCTTTCTTGTTCCTTTAGCTGAGTGTGCAAAATGATTTCCTGGCCAGGGGACCAGTCTGGAGAGTGAGACATGAGCCAAAGCAGGAACACAGCAGGAAGGAAGGGAACAAACACAAAAGAGGTTTGTGGAAAGGTAATTGAAATGTGCTGTTTAAATGCCAAGAGAATGGATTTGTTTTAAGGCCAGAATAAGGAGAGGTTGAGAGTGGTGAGAAGCTGGAAAAAGGGAATTCTGCTGTTGCTGATCCTTCTCCCACGTGTTAAAAGCACAAATGCTCCAAAGGTGCGTGCACTCTGTGTCTCCTGGGGTACTTTGTCTGGAGATTTACCTGCTGGCAGTTTATCCTGCCTGTGCTGCAGCCCTTGCCCTAAACTTGGTGAGGCAACACCTTTGTTATTTCAGTTCCCTGTGTGTGTTCCAGACCCGCAGCTCTGAGTCAACAACGCGCTGCTGCCTCAGCACCGGGAGAAGGGGCTGAGCAAAACCTAAACTCTGCAAGGCTGGGGTGGGAAAGGAATGTTGCTGAGTAAAAAGGGACAATGCCAGTGTGCCAGCCTCTCCTGCAAGACACACATCCCCAGCTGCAAGGGAGGAAGAGCCCACCTCCTTTCACACCTGGGCTGAGCTCAGCCCATCCTCACCCCGAAGAATCAAGACGCGAGAGCAGAATTTCAGTGAACTACAGACACCCCAGTGTTTATTAACTCCAGACCAGTGGCACAGGCACAACGCTGCAGGCACGGCATCTCTCCCCACACTCTAAGCCTGTTCCTTGAGCCTCTTGAGCAGCTCCCTCAGCTGCTCGATCTGGGCGGACACGCTGCTCTTGGCGGTGCCGCCCGCGGCCGTGTACTGCTCCACGCTGCTCACCACGCTGAACACCTGCGCCACGTCGCTGCCAAACAGGGGGCTGGGGGCACAGCGGGGCTGTCAGGGGGCTCTGGGCTGCTCCACCTGCCCAGGGCCTGCAGAGAGGCTGAGGGAGTGAGGACGGAGCCTTTTCCCCAAGGGAAACGCTCCTGCGCTTCTCAGCTCCAAGGGGACACCGAGCAACTTCAGAGCCAAACCCCTCTGGGGGCTCCCTGCTTAGGGCAGAAGTGTCTCCCAGCCCCTCCCAACAGCTCCTGCCCATGCCCTGCTGGAGTGGAATGGAGGTGATGTTGTCCCCTTCAATGTTTCCAGCCCCAGGAGGAGCAGCCTTGATATTCAGGATGTTGAGGTGCTGCCCGGCCCTGGCACTTTTGGGAAGGCTGATCAGGGCTGCTGCTCCATGCAGGGAAGTGAAATAACAGAGACACAAACCTGATGCTCTTCAGGTCCTCCAGGCTGAGGTTGTTGATGGTGATGCCTTTGGTCTCAGCCAGGTGGACGGCCTTGCCAGCGGCGATGTGGGCTTGTCTGAAGGGCATCTGCAGGGGGAAGCAGTCAGTGACCAGGCAGCTGGGCTGCTTTTCCATGAGGAAAATGGATGTGCTACTTCTTTTGCTGGCCTGTTTTCCCTTAGGGCAATGCAAGCTGAATCTGGCAGTGCTGGGGTGGAAGAGGAGAGGATTTAGGAGTAAATTATGATCAAGAAATCTGGGTGTAAATGGCTATGATGTCCCCCAGGCAGCACTGCTTGAGATGCCTGTAAAGGATGTGTTTCCAGCTTTCATGGTTGTTGACTGCTCATCATCCTGGGACACAACAGAAGGGTCTCATCCCAGCTCCTCACTGAGCACTTCCTCTGCATCCAAAGAAATCCCAGCTCCAGCTGTCCCTGGGGCACTTACTCCTTTATGAACCAAGTAGAGAGCCAGGTCAGATGACAGGATCTCAGGGCTCAGTGCCTTCTCCATGTTCTCCTTGTTGATCTGCAGAAAGGAGGGGCAGAGGGAGATGTTATCTACCATCAGCTTCTCCTTGGGGCACATTAGCTCTTAGAGGAAGGGTGAGGCACTGAAGTTTTCACTTTAGGACCAGTCTGGAACTCTATCCCCTGAGTTACAGCATGTGCTCCATGCTCACAGCGAGAGGGTGAATCCGTACCTGGAGGGTGGAAATCACTCCAGTGGCAACCTGGAGCACAGCATTCAGGGTGTCTACGACATCAAAGACGGCCTCCTTGTCCTCCTGTATTGGAACAGCGATGGAAATGGCTCTGAGCCAGCCTGGTGCAGCCCAAAAACCCCCCAGGCCGAGCAGCCCAGCTCTCCTGACTCCTCCAGCCAGCAGGAGAGAAGCTGTGGAGAGGAACAAGTGCTTTACCTGCAGGTCCTTGTTGTAGGTGCTGGGGAGTCCTTTGAGGACCATGAGAACTGCAGCCAGCTGCAGAGGGAAGCAGGAGAGGCACGGAGTGAGGCACAGAGCAAAGCACAGCCCCAGGGCAGGCTCAGAGCACACAGCTCTTCACAAAGGAAAAGGCAAGGAAAAGGAGATTCTCCAGCCCCAATAGGAGCAGTTTCCTCTCCCTCTTCCTCCTTGTTGGGGCTCACCCGGCCGAACACTCGCCCGGCTTTGCTGCGGATCAGCTCCAGACTGTCGGGATTCTTCTTCTGAGGCATCAGGCTGCTGCCAGAGCTGCAGGGAAGGTGTGGAGTGCACTGGTGAGCAAAACCCCCTGGCTGAAATCCCTGATCCAGCCCTCTGAAAAGAACCTCTAAATCCCTTGTACTCCTGTTTCGGGTGTAGGAAATCAGTGTACTGAGTGTGCCAAGTCCCTCATGTTTCCCACAGCAAAGCCTTTAGCTTTGCACCTTGTCTGGAGCTGCTACAGAGTCCCACCTCTCACAGAGGAAGGAAAAGGGGGCTCCCCCCTCAAGCTGCTGCAGAGGTGATATCAGCAGGCCAGGCTAAGTGATCTCAGGGAGGGAGGGCTGTGTTTGTGGCACCCCAGAGACAAGGAGTCTGCTGGGATTGCAAACCCAGCCAGGCAAGGAAGGGCTCTGGCAGCATTCCCAGCACAGGAGGAAGCTCTCTCTGCCAGCAGTTCCTGGACAGGACTTGCTGGGCTGAACACAAACTTGGTTAAGTTACAAGAATGACAAATAAGTGACCAGTACTGAGGAATATTCACCCTGAGGGTGCCTTTGTGCCAGGCCCTTGATGCTGGGTCAGCCTCGTGCACAGAGAGACCCCAAGCACTGCCTCACCCTCCCAGCCTGGCAGAGCTGAGGAGAACCCCTCAGCAGACACCAAAAACCTACCAGTAGGTATCAGAGAGGGTGAGGAAGCCGAACTCGCTGGTGCTGTAGATGATGAGATCCTCAGCCATCTTGCTGAGGTGGATCATCAGCAGGGTGGCAACTGACAGGAATTCCACTGCAGGCAAGGCAGGAGATCAGGAGGGGGAAAAGGTGCTGGGACAACCCAGGGAACCCTGAGTGATGGATTCCAGCCCCTTCTTAAGTTATCTGGCAAGGTGTCAGGTTCCCCCAGTGCTGGGAGGCTTTGGCTGTGCTTACCCACAAAGTCCCTCTCGCTGACAGCATCCATGCTGTTCAGGCTGATGGAAGCAAAGTCCAGCTCTGCAGGGAAGGGGGTGGACACAGGAGGTCACGCTGGCCCTGACAGCAGCCTGAATGCACCAGGCTGCCCCAGGGGAGGTGACTGTGAGCCCTTGAGCAGTCCCAGGAGCACAAACACATTTAGTGGGGTTTTTGTTAGGTTTTTGTTAGGATCCCAGACAGGCAGAGTGCAGATCTTCCTCCTCCCACCTCCCTGGCACTGCCTGACTCTCTGCAGCAAAAACCCTG